CCTCAACCGAGGTGGTACTAAAAAAAGTACCAGGTACTGTACCCAGTGGAAAACCCCCCAAAAGTGAACCGTACCATGCCATACCATGCAGTGGAAAAGCGCCAATACAAAGAATGACCCGTGTGATTATGTGGCATTTGACTGTATATTGTAACCTTTAGAAAGAGTGTTGTTTGTGTACTGGAGGCAGTAATGATCTTGTTTCATGGATGTGAGTCAGTCTCTCCGTCCCGTCTGTCTCTGCTTCAGTCTCCATTGGAATACATCACCATGGCAGCCATTTCCAAAATATTTGCTGTAGCAGTGACCTACCCGTACCAGGTGGTGCGCGCTCGCCTGCAGGACCAGCACAACAACTACAGCGGCATCGTGGACGTCATCCGGAGGACGTGGAGGTATGAGTCACATGACACATTGCGTCAAACGCTCGTCAAATCACAGAGCATTTATAGATTACTCTTAACAATCCACTTCACCCCCCATTGATTGATGGATTTCACTTAATGTTGGTATATTCTTTCTAAGTATAATAATAATAACATACATATTTGTAACTAAATAACAAATGAATGATTATGCAAAAAAAAAAAAAAGTGTTTTCTTATCGAGAATTAATTTTTAATTTATTTAAAAAGACATTTCTTTATAGTAATATGATCACGACAGTTGTATCACACTGATTTTTTTTATTAATGCATACCAACACTCAATCATACCTTATAAAATTATACCTTATCATATCTTATTGTTTAAAGATTTTGCCCTCTTAAACAGCTTCATTTGTAGCTATGTTTTTTTAATAGCACTTCATCTAGTTTCAAGAGGAAATATAATGGCACTGCCAGGAATACTGTGACTCATCTGACTGTACATCAGCTCAATATGTTTGTGTTTGGCTCTCTCTAGCAACGAGGGGATCGAGGGCTTTTACAAAGGCATGGTCCCGAACCTGGTGCGAGTCATTCCAGCGTGCTGCATCACCTTTTTGGTGTTCGAAAATGTGTCACGCTTACTTTTGGGCGAGTATCACTAAAGCTTCAGGTACGCACACACCAAACGCAACGACGGACCAACTCAACGCAATATACCAGGATGTGTGTGTGTGTGTGTGTGTGTGTGTCAGAGACGAACAGGAATACCAAACATTTCCTGTTTAACTCTGAAACTGGACGTGCAGACAAAACTAGCATTTAGCGTCTGCACTGAATGAAAAGAAGAAAATACAGGTGCATTTATATATATATACGTATATGAGATTGTTGTATTGTTGAGTTTATTGAGAGAGTATCCATGTTGTCTTGAATATTCAACCACAAAAAGATTTTTCAAGTCATTTCAAGATTTGAATTGACAATGACAAGAACGGCTCGTGGAAAAGTGGATTCAAGCCATCCTGTGACAATGCAACCAAACACAGTATTCAAGATGTTTTTTTACGATATTTTCACCAAACAGCTGCTATATTTGCTGGGCAATGCGAGAGAATGAACCCACTCAGCAGATCTCGGCGAGCCGCACTGCTCATGCTCAGGAAATGATGTCACGCTGCAGGATAATAGCACACAGGCCTGGAGAAACCGATACTTTACTGGAGGACAGGAGCATATTTTAACCAGATGTGTGTAGATGACACGAAAGAAGAAATATGAACGGAAGTAGCATCTGAGAGGCTGTTATGTTTGGTTTGTATATACGAATGTGCTGTTGTCAAGAAGAGCTGATGTATGTATAAGCCATTTTTACACGTCTAATAAAGGAATATATGTAACAGACAAAGGAGTTATTGCACAAGCTATATTTTTAATAAGAACAGAAGCCTAACTAAACTGTTTAGGCTTTTCACATTTTAAAATATCTTAATTTCACTTCATTAGATACAATTAATCAAATCAAATGCAGTTTACGCTCAAATGCTGAGATTTTGTGTGCTTAACAATTGTATTGAGTGTGTATTGTAGTCTACTTCAAATCTTAAAAGTACTATTTATCTTTAAGTGTAAAGACACTTTCTTTCATGTTTCTTAACACACTTAAGTAGATTTTTAAGTGCATTTTGTAATGTCAAATTATAAGTTTAACTTCAAATTACATTTTAAATCATTGTTTAAAGGTGCTGTATGTAGGATTGACACCGAGTGGTTGAACTAGGTATTGCAGTCCAAATTCAAAATGTTGGAGAGGGTTGTTTTCACCCGGCCCCTCCTCCTCAGACTTGACGCACACGCAGGTTGCCAGATTGACGACACCAACAGGAACGAGCGCATTTGATGATGAATGAAATGATATACGCTGTGTTTCCCGCCAACTGGCAACCCGGGGTGCCGAAATACAATTGGGTAAACGCAGTGGGCGGGTTTCACAAACCAAAACAGACCGACAGTCCGGCCCGGAACATACAGTATGTGGAAAATAATGTGTTTTTTTAACCTTAAACCGCATAAACACATTTCATTACACCAAATACACAAAATAATGTTCTTTTTAGCAGCATCATATGACCCCTTTAAATAATCTTTTGTTGTGCTTTAAAGAAGTACACTTATTTTGCTGTGTTGACTATCATACTAAAGCATGTGTAAAGTACTTCATTATAAGTTTAACTGTAGTGTTATTTGATATTGCTTTTAAAGTGAATATATTTTAAATTACATTAAAAAATTTATTTTCAAATATATTTAAATTCATGACATACAAGTTTCAATAGAAATTATATTAAAATCTATTTTAGTTTATCATATTGTAAATGTTTGTCACTGCATTCAAAAGTTACACTTTAACCATATTTCAAAGACAATATATTTATGAAATTACATATAAAGATGTAGCCTACTTAGTCTTATTTACAATGTGTGGGTTAAAATCACTCTAAAGTTCAGCTAATTGCATTTAGTAATGTAAACTATAATACATTTTCATTTCATAGTAAATAACATGCAATTAAGTGTTCAAAAACATTACATTCAGTTCACACTTAAGTATATTCTTTTAAAGTATATTATTTCTGTAGGTACTCTTTTAAAAAGCATGCTAAAATGCACTTCTTTTCACAGGGGAATTCTCAGTCCTGCACTTTTTTTGAGTAATTTTTGCAATGACTTTTAATCATTGGGTGATTCGCTGATTTAATCCAATGATATTCTGACATTTCTAAGTGTGACTTGCCAGTTTATCTTACCCTGCAGCAGATGTGAAACTACTTCAGTACCACAGAAGACATTCCAAGTCTTAGTGATGCTACACACACTTCCGTCCGCTGCGTTTTCCATCTACACCCCATTTTATGATGCTGGTACTTTGGGCTTTTCCCCCCCAGCTTTTTAAGCATTACCAAGCCTTTGGTCTAAATTAAAATAGACCTTTTTAATATGTATAGAAGTGTTCTATTTTTGTTCAAAACATTTAGAAGTTGAACAAAAAAGCATACATACTAAAAAATGGCCAGGGACATCTCTATAGAACCAGATAAAATCATGTGGAATAAAAGTGTATATGGTATAAAGTGGGGAATGTCCTAAAGTAATGCCTGTCATATTTCGACCCCAAAATCATTAGAAGGAGAAACAGAAACAATTTTTATTTATATATATATATATATATATATATAAGAAAGCTCTTATGCCTGTATTTATTTATTTTTCTGGATTCTTTGATGAATAAAAGGACAAAAACCATTTATTTAAAATAGAAATCTTTTGTAACATTGTAAATGTCTTTACTGTCACTTTTGATCAATTTATTGCTCAAATTATCCTTGATGAATAAGAGTATTAGTTTACTTCCCAAACTTTTAAACTGTACTGTGTGTGTGTGTGTGTGTATATATATGTATCTATATATACACACACACACACACATACACATATATATATATATATATTACGGTAAAGAAACAGATTTCATATTACATTTTTAATTGCGAGGTGAAACATGACCTGACTTTTCTTCATAGTGTTAGGTAATAAAAACACAATGGATACAAAAATATGCTGAGTTCTAGTCATCCAGGCACAAAAGGAAGAGCCACTAAATAAATATCAGCAAGCAAGGATCATCTTTGTTGGACTCTCCTTAAAATGGCAGTAGCATAGTACAGTGATGACCTCATATAATAACACCATATTTACCATGATATTTACATTGTACAAGGTACTTTCATTATGGTAGTGTCCAAAGAACCACAGTACTATCATGGTACTTCTATTTTGTAATTGTCTGTACTATCTAAATTGAGCAAACGGAATCCCTCTTAACTTTCACAAAACTGAGCCGGAGAATAATAATCTTACACAACATGAGAGCTGCACACACTCAAAGCAACTCCATTAGATTTAATTTGTCCCATTTCTATGAGGAAGGTCCTTTCTGAACACGATGTCTTCTATTGGCATGGTGATGATGACAGTGATCAGTTCTGAAGATGAAATGCTTATTTTGGAAGTTCTTCGATGATCACCCGGGTTACAGAGTTCCATCCTGTCGATGCGTCTCCGCGAGGATAATCTGCACATGTGCCCACCCATATCCCAACATCCACCAGACCGGCCTGGATCCCATCACAGAGCCCCTCCACTGACACAAACAAACACACGCCGTCAGCACTGCTGGATATTGTAATATACAATCTGTGTTATTCGTATGTGTTCTTAATGTGCTATTAGTAATATTAATTAAAATACAAACAAACACACAGCACAAATGATTGATTTAAAGAAAAAACCTTTTACTTTTTTCATATATATATTCTACTTTTTTCACACACACACACATATATATATATATATATGAAAGAAAAAAAAATATATATCTACTATCCATCTATCTATTATATTTATAATCTATCTGTCTATTATATTTATACTCAATCTGTCTGTCTGTCTATTATATTTATACTCGATCTGTCTGTCTGTCTATCTATCTGTCTATCTATTATATTTATAATCTATCTGTCTATCTTATATTTATAATATACCCGTCTGTCTGTCTGTCTATTATATTTATAATCAATCTGTCTGTCTGTCTATTATATTTATAATC